AGGGAGGAGACAATTTATATGATAAAGGTTTTGTTTTCCTTTTTCCCTGTAAGTTATAAAACAATCGGTTCCATGAAAAGTCAGTGCTGCAATAACAAGTTCAGTAAAAGTTATGTGCAAGGGTATCTAGAACTCGGTCTGTGAGAAATGTAAAATTTGCTTGATTTATCTTATCAAACTAGCCCATCACTTATTTATTAGGATTACAGGGAGGAAGTGGGACTAGATACCACTACTTTTCACTCCATATATATTTATATTAAATTAAAAGTAGCCATTGTTTGTTCAAATTGTGTATCATCACTTCGCTGACAGTAAAAATAAAGCCATGCAGTACCTTGAGACAGTAAATAATAGACAATTGATGAAGAGTGTTTTGGATTGATCTGATAGATGGCAGTAATTCAAATATCACACTAAAGTGAAAAGTATGATAATTTGTGAAGGAATATTAACACCACTGGTAGTATAAATGAAACCTCTGATAATCCAAACCACTAAATTGAAAGTGTTATATCCCTAGCCATAAAGACAGTGTGAAGAAACAGGAATGAAGTAAATGTAAAATTATTCCAGAAAACAAATTTTATTAATGAATGATTTAAGAGAATGTTATGTAAGAGCACGTGTTAATTGAATAATTCACAATGTCCGTCACCAGTGATTGAATAACTACCTGTAACAAGTTCTGTATGTCAAATAGAATTGAAATTTTTAAGAGATAATATTTATATATGTATATGGGTTTCTGGATATTGATCATTCTCCAGATTGATGTAGAATTGTAGATCACATGCATTTAGCCTGTGAAAAAAGTACCAGATGATCAACCAATTTCATAGACAAAAAGTAGATCATATTAAGAAAACAGTAATGACAGGTGGGAATGGAGAAATAAAGTATTTTCTTACGTATTTTAGTAATTTATATAAAACTTAAGATAATATTTTAGAAGTGTATTGCTACAAAAGAACAGTATTTCTCACAACTTTATGCTGTAAATATAGTCATGAAATTATTCTGAAGGAAATGTCAGAAGTACTAAAAAAATATAGCAACAAATCCCAAAGTACCTGTGTTGAAACTCAGAACTGTGACCGCTACTAGATGGCGCCTAACAAGCACAAATCGGTTATAGGAAGTACGGAAAAGTCGTACTAATCTATTATGGTATTGACGCTTACCTATGTAACAAACATTAATGAACTCCACAAGGTGCTTAAAACAACAAGGAACCATTTCAAAACATTTCACATAATGGTTCAAATGAACAATATCTTGTTATGGGGTGATCGCCTTTTGTAAACTGGCGAAGCATGGTTATAAAA